TGTGTGTGTGTGTGTGTGTGTGTGTGTGTGTATATCTCCTTGAGCCAACATCTTGGAGTGTGTAAAATGGAGAGAGTAAGCTAAGCAGAGTGTTCCAGCTCTCTCCTGGCTGCAGAGGTCATATAACCTGCTGTTTCAAGCTCCTGCTGCCTCGACTTTCCACCATGATGGTGTGTTTCTTCTGCTCGGATGGAAGGAAGGAAGGGCATCCTGGGACTTGGAAGCTCAGAAACTACACAGCTCTGAGGTGAGACAGTGTCCCAGTGGAAGGGCATCTTGAGACAGAGGAGCTCAGGAACCTTACAGCTCTGAGAGGAAGCCTCCTCAGCAGAGGTGTTGCAGCTCCCAGGGGAGGGGAATCCCAGCTGAGCTGAGCAGCACAGGAGCCTCAGCCCGGCTGTCTCTTCTCTTCATTGCTTCTTGTCTTCTTCTGACTAGAGAATTGTACCAGATAGGAAATCTCATTAAATGAGATTTATTAGAGGGTCCAGGGTGTGGAGGGGTAAATCCAGGGATGGCTGCCCTCTGCTCCCAGGAGCAGACAGCAGGGAATTGGACAAAGGGCAGGGCTTACATAGGATTTCTGAAGGGGCAGAGCTTTTCTGGATTGAGGATTGGTAAGATTTCAAGTCCTGAGCTTGGGGAGCTCAGGGATTGGTGTGTGTGTGTGTGTGTTTCCTGTTCAGGGATTTGTGGCCTTTTTTTTTTCACCCTCATTTCCCTGCATCAGGCCCATGGGTTAGAGTGGGAAGTCCTTTCTGGCTGCAGCTGGCTTTTGCCAAGGTATCATCTCTGTGGGGATGCTCACGGAGCCTGGAGAGGAGGTAGGGCCACTGTGGACAGCTCCTGCAGTGCAGTTTGACCAAGGCTGTATGCTGAGGCAGAAAAGGTGATGTGCCACTGTGGGCAGCTCCTGTGAGGGCTGTGGCCTGAGGAGATGTGGTGCTGTCATTTTGACAGGAGCCCCGACATCTTCGACAGCTCCGGGGATGGTGGTGGTGGTGTCACTGTGGCTGTAGGCTGGGGTGGGAAGGAGGGGCTAGCTGCCACTTTAATGGTTTTTGTGGTGCTCTGCTTAGGGACTGCAGATGGACTGTCTAACAGTAAACTGGAAAGGGCCCTTCATCCCTCACCTGGTTCTTCAGAGTATTTCATCACAGCACCAGGGAAAGGTGCTTACTGCTTTCTATAGTCCATGAATGGACCATCACCATAAACTGGTGGCCTAAGCAATCCAAATGTGTTACACGTGTGGACTTGAGAAGCCTAGTGCAGGTCACTAGGCTAAAAATCAAGATGACAGGGCTTCCTTCTGGTGTTCCAGAAGAGCGTGTTCTCAGGCCTCTCCAGCTGTTGGAGGTGACTGCAGTCCCCAACTCCTGGCCTTTCTAGCTGCAAAGGTAGAGTGTGGAAGGCTAGCCCTTGTAGCCTCTCTCCTATCTCATCTGCTATTTTAAGAACTCACAAAAGGACTGAGCCACCCAGGCCAACCTCCCCATTGCTGGGCCGACGAATCAGCAGCCTTCCTTACCTTCACACAAAGGACACACTGTTCTGGGAATGATGATAGGACATCTTACAAGTCCATTCTCCTGCCTACAGAGTGGAATTCTGTCTATCACCCCCTTAAGCATAAAACAACACAGGGGCTAGGATCCGTGGCAAGCACCCTACCACTGAGGTTCCCACTCTCTGCCCCCAACCCCACCCCAAGCTCCAACACTTTACTCTGAACCAGTCTTCTATTTGATAATGAGCAGCAATGGTCAACTGTGAAAATGCAGTATTTAAAAGAATCCTGGCTGGGAAGGTCTTTCTAATATAACCATGTCCTTTCCACTCACTATCTCCTGTGACCAGAATCAAGTCCAGTACCAGGCACAGTTTTAGTCCCTTTCTGACAACAGTCAGGAAACTTTGTTAGCTGAAATTACTAGGTGTTCTTTGTTATTCTGATACTATGGTATCAGAGAAAAGCCAGTCTGAACAACACTGAAATACACTAAAATTATGTGGAATTTTGCCTTTGATGCTATTTGGAAACATTTGCTCAGTTTTTCTTTTCTTCTTAGTCTTCAAAAATTCAACAAGTATAACTATGTATTAGAGACTTTAGAACATGAGTAAAAATTGATTTGTCACTTGAGATTCCAAAAGATTCATAAAGAATTTGAATTTTTTAATGACTTTATTTAAAAACTTACTAGATGTATTCATTTTTACTTCATGTGTTTTGCTTACATGTATGTATGTGTACCACATGTATGCATAGTGCCTACAGAGGTCAGAAGGAATAGCAGATCCCATGGGACTGGAGTTAGGATGACTGGGAACCTAGGTCCTCTGTAATGGCAGCAAGTGCTCTATCCATTGAACCACCATCTCTCCAGCCCTTGAGTTTCTAATCTAACCTGTGAAGAGACTCAGTTACTGGGTGCACCTCAGAGGCCTTTGGAACACAGAAGTTGCCAGATCTTTACATTTAGATATTAGAAAGGACCTGCTAACTCGAAACCCTTGAACATTATTTGAAATGGCCTTTCTATATTTTTCCCAAATGAAATTCAGTAATTTTGTCTATATGTAAAGGCATATATAATATATCAGATCTTTGGTTACTGAGAAACAAATGACTTTGTGTTTGCTAATTTCTCCAAATATATGAAAGATAATGTCTAGTTTGAATCACAAAGCTATTCAGGGCCAACCGTCAATGTAGCCTTTCAATGAAATGTTAAATCATTTTATATGTAGGGAAAACCCCAGGATTTTATAATTTTACTAATTTGATGTATAGACCAAACCAATTACTTTTGAGTTTAGGTATACATGCACTGACAAATCTAGCTCTTGGCAGACAGCCAGTAGTTACCATTTTTATATATTCACATAAAGACTGGTAGGTGGCTTACACTTGGGAAGGCCCACTTACAAAAAGCACTGGAGTCAGAGAGGAGCTAACCGCTTTTATTAAACACAAGGACGTCAAATATGAATGTTTAATGGGTAATTTTTAATCAAGCAAGAACAATGAAGCGTTGGATAGAAACAATTTAAACACTGGAAAAGTACTAAATGTTAAGGTTATTATCAGAAGAAATACAGCTTTAACCAGTATGTTAGTTTTACAAAGGGGACAGGGTATTAACCTACATTCTATAGTGCTGTGAGACAGAGAAGCACATTCAATTTAGAGTGTAGTACAATAAACATGTAGTAAATGCAGGCCAGAACATGTGACCTTTTGTGCTTCAGGACCTTGCCACAGCACACCTGAGAAAGCAGCTCTGAATACCTTACTCTGCTGTCATAGAGCTAATGCATCACAGCCTGCTTATCCCGGTGCGTCTCAACTGACATGATCTGAACCCTGTGCTCCAATCTGAGTCTGAAAAGCTGAAACTACAATGTAAGCTCCATAACAATTCCATGTTCACGTATGACTTGTGAATTCCATGTTCACATACAACTTGTGTAAAAAGTCACATAATTTTTACATGTGTAGTGAACTTTGAAACAGTAGCAATAAACTTTTTTCTGGACAGTATTTTTCAAATGGACTTATTAATGATGATTTATACATGAACGTAGTAGCACATTTTTTTTCTGATTCAAAATACACAGCTTGAAGTCTTGAGTGATAATTTTGAAATAAAGTTTATAACATAATAAAACACACATACAGATTTTAATACTACATATCTGTTGCCACTGGGTTTTAAAGGAGGACTATCAGATAATATTTAAAGTGTTAGGTCCAATTATAGAGCTGTCTGATTGTATTATTATGGCTTTTTCTAATTGCTGTAGAACTTTCTCTGATGAAAGGTACTCGTACTTTCCGAAGACTTTCTATAGGATCAAGAACAAAAGAAAAATCAACAATAAAATGTGATTATGCCAAATACCACACAGTGCAGAAAGACTTAGCTAGCAGTATTCTTTATTACTATACTGATCATTTCAGAATTCACTCGGAACGTTAGATGTATTCCTTTTTCTTTCTTTCTTTCTTTCTTTTTTGTTTTTTGGTTTTTCAAGACAGGGTTTCTCTGTATAGCCCTGGCTGTCCTGGAACTCACCCTGTAGACCAGGCTGTCCTTGAACTCACCTGCCTCTGCCTCCCAAGTGCAGGGATTAAAGGCATGCACCACCACCGCCCAGCTTCCTTTTTTTTTTTTTCAAGACAGGATCTCATTATTTAGCACTGGCTGTCCTTAGAACTCATTCTGTAGACCAGTCTAACCTCAAAAGACAGAGATGCGCCTGTCTCTGCCTTCCACGTGCTGGGATGAAAGGCGTGGCAGCGCCACTGCTGCCCAGCATATGCATTCCTTTAAAACCTGCTCACTGACAAATCCTATCACCAGCTGCATTACTAAGTGACAGAAACAGGCCACCGGCTGTCTCGTGTCAATGACCACCAGAGCAGTGAAGCTGCTGCAGCTCTGAGCAGAATCCAAGGGAGCCAGATGCTAGCCTGCACCACTGTGAGGCACTGAGCATGGGTGGGAGCACAGCCCACCAGGAACTTTCTATTTCCAGTCCGTGTTTCTCTTTGTACAGTTCTCATTTGAAAATATCCTTGTTGAGTTCACAAGACCCCATGTACCTGGGAGCAGTGCTGTCTAGAAGGGTCTCTAAATCCCTAACTGCTAGCTAGTGGGTAACTGGAGGCAGGGATAGGCCTTTGAAAGCTGCAGGCTGGGACTTTTATGTAAGGAACTTATCTACACACACCTGTCACCATAGAGCCTTTCTGTCATGTCATCTCCACAATGATGGACTATTCTTGCAGAAAACAGAAGTTGAAGCAATCCTTCCTTTTTATAGATACTGGTTTGAAATTAACAGTTAACATAGTATACTTGTTTTAAAATGGAGTATTTTATTACTGTATTACCATTTCAACTTAAGATCAACTGTTTTAAATAAGAAAGTAAAATCTTTACTATTTAAGTATAAAAGCATATGATTACATTACCTCTGTATTGCTTCATTTATTTCAAACGGGAAGCAGAGTTTCTCAGAAAAGATGAAGTCATTTTTACAATGGTGTTGATGGACAAACCATTCAGAAAACCTTTGTGATTTATCCTCACTTCCTGAAGAGCCTCTATAATGTGGTCTCTATCCAAGAGAAACACAGACATAATTCTGCTTCTCAAACAATCATGTGTCAGAAGGTCTGAAGACTTGTTTTTACATACAAGTATATAATTAAATTCCAACTTTAGTTAGTACCTGCTGATATCTGGATGCAGTTCAGCCAGTCTCTTCATGATCTTGGTGAAGCTACGAAGGTTTAATGTATTTGGAGGTATGAACTGAAAAGGTGTCTCAGGTAATAACTGACCAGATTTGATCTGGTTACAATTTTTCTTGACACCCTAAACAAATGAGATAAATGTTGGAAATATGAGCCAAAGAAACTTATAAAAAACTTGAGAGGTGAGAGTGTATCAAGACGGCAGCAGGAGCTTCTTTATCCACACTTGCACCTAGAGCCTGCAGCATACTGTTGTTAGACTGCCCTCTTCGCCAGTGCCCACAACTGACAGGACCAGAGAGTTTTCTCTCAGACTAATGAGCACTGGGCTCACAGGCCAGGTCAAGTCAGTGTCCTGCCTATGGAACTAGAATATAAGAGTAAACAAATTCAGTCAAAGTCAGGTTTCTCACAGAACCTGACTGGAAGTGCTACAGCTAGAGTCATGGGAAGTGCAGGAATGCAAAAATGAGCACAGAAAACCCACGTGAAAAGGCAGAGGGGGAGCTGCCAGACACAGCAGTGAAGTCCATGTGTACTATAGTGGGGGGATCATGGCCCCCAAAAAGCCAGCCGAACTCCCCATATATTCTGTTTCCTCCTTTCCTACTGTGCCCCCCAACAACCCAAAACAGGAAGTGTCAGTGAAGTGAAGGGATAGTTCTGAAGGACTGCCACTGTCAGAGAGGTCAGGTGCTCAAGAGCAGCAGATGAGAAAAGACCAACAGCGATGCCATGCTGACAATGGATACAACAGTTAGTGACATTTTAGAGAATGAAGTTAGATCATATGACAATCAATGAAGACAATGAATAAAAGCTACTTCACTGAGAAGCTTGGTAATGAAAACACAGGACAAGTAAGGGTTATGTTCAAAGGAATACAAATGAAGTCTTGTGAGGTTAGAAAGGGCTCAGGTGCCTACTAGCAGAGAAAGGTCTAAGTGGAAACTCAGTCAGCAATAGCATCGAGTAGGCATCAGATGACAGGATCATCTGACTCTGGAGGACACACATGAAAGCGTCACACAAGAGAGTGGTTTGGAAATGTGGGTACTGTTCTGACTTTCGTGGCAGGTACCTGCTTAAATGCCTGTGTCTAGTCATGAACACCAAGAGTGAATTTCATTGCATGTAAACAATAATGGACTGCCCAGTGGATAGCAGACATTTTGTTGGGTGAAACTGTTATATATCAGGAAGTATTTAAACCTGCATTGGGGTGGAAGTGGGGGCTATGAAAATAAAATAACCATGTCTTATAGTTTTGAGAAGTATGAGGTAAGGCTACTGTAATAAATTATCTATCTATCTATCTATCTATCTATCTATCTATCTATTATCTATCTATCAATCAAGCAGGGTGGTGGTAGTGCACGATTTTACTCCCAGCACTTGGGAAGCAGAGGCAGACTGATTTGAGGCCAGCCTGGTCTACAGGGTCAGTTCTAGGGCAGCCAAGGCTACACAAGAAAACCATGTCTCAAACAAACGAACAAACAAACAACAAAAAATGATACACACACATATACATACATATGTATTCTATATCTACACACATACACGAACTGATGGGTGAATGGCTTCTAGAGTGGTGCTTTCCAAGAGTAAAGAGACAAGGACTGGGGGAGATGCAGGAAACCCAGCAAGAACAGCCTTCCCGACCGTTGTGCCAGCACAAGGACAGCTCCTTACAACGGCATGCCAGCAGTGCGGCACACACACAGCCACTGCTCATCCATGAGAACACTAACCTGGTCCAAGGGAGGAAACTCACTGTCTTGCTCAGACTCCAGCTGCCTTGATCTAGCTCTGGGCAGTCTACAAGTGGAAGAAGCAGAGGTGGCATCTTTGTTGCTATTTTTCTCCAAATGACTCACACCAGTGCTATTCCCGGTTGAGGACAGAGGTGGAGGTATGTGCTCTCCAGGGATTTTCACAAGCCGCACGTTCACAGACTTTCCATTGATTTCAACTCCATTCATTTCCTTCACAGCCATCTTTGCATTACTGTTTTTTACAAACGCAAGAGATGCATATCTAAAACATGAGAGCAGAAGACAGTCCCTTGGTTAGTGAGCAACATCCGCTTACTCTTCTAAACCTAAGATGGCTTCCACAAGAGCTAGTGCTCTTCCAAAGGTTCTTAAGCCTGCTTGGGATAAGCAGGTGTTGTTTGTTGTTTTTGATTTTTGGAGACAGGGTCTCTTTAGTTCTTTGAGGTTGCTAGGTAGACCAGGCTGGCCTTGAACTCAGAGATTCACCTGTCCCAGACCCTCAAGGGCTGGTATTAAAGGTGTATACCAACAAATAAGTGTTTATTCAGGATAACTGAATACAGAACAAGTCAAAGGGGCAATAGGATACGCTGTAATAATTATAAATTATTACTTTAACATTTAATGTTTTAAATTGCAAACACACACACACACACACACACACACACACACACACACACACACACGAGTTCTAAGGCATAGGGCCAAGTTGCTGTATATTCTAAAAATTAAAGTTAATTTATATGCACAAATTTAAACTCTAGTAGGCTCAAAGGCATCAATAATAAGGACAAAATTTGAAAATATTTAGCAGAATATATGAAAATACATTTATAGTCAGTAATGAGAAAATATGTAGATAAAAGTTAAGACAATTGAAAAAGCTGGTCCAGAACAATCCCCGTTAAGCCAACAGCTTTAAGTAGTGTTAACATACACCAAGCAAGGTTTTTCAAAGAATGGGTCTACAGATACAAACTTAAAATATCCTTATATCTTTGTATTTAAGTCCATTTTAAAAAATTTATACACGGAACAACTATTTTAAAGAAAAAAAAGCATCACTTTTTTAAGGGTTCAGGTAAGATAGTAAAAAAAAGACATGAAGGACAATATTCCTAAGGGATTCGACTCTAGCTTAATCTGAAAAGAAGACACTAACATCCTATCAATGTGTCATATACAATCTATGTGACAATGAAAAAAATTAGTACCTACTTATACAAATTTAAAACCCTAACCACAAGCAATTCCCTCTTAATTAATGTCTTGACCTCCAAAATCAATAGCTATCATTTTTATGACAGAACAGCATAGTGTCTCCATGAAGTAATTGTCACTGTAACTGAATTCTGAATAATCTATAAATATCAAAGTAGCAACTAGCAACTTTCTCTTTCCCCCCTCCCTCCCCCCTCCCCGACACCAAAGACAGGTGATGCAACCACCTACCTAAAACTATAAAACAGAAGTATAAAATGCAACTGTAACTAAGGTCAGAACTAATTAAGTAGTACTTCTGAGCCACCTCTGTCTTTATTGCTAGTGTGACAACAATGGTTATTATCCTGATCCTCATTTTATGGAGAGGCTAAGACTAGGAAGTCAAGGAATGCATTCAGATTAATTCTAGTTACTGGAGGAGCTGAGGTTGAGCCAGCACCATCTTTAGAGTACATCTTCTACTTAATGTACTCTGCTTCTGCTATGAGATGCCGTATCGTCAGATAAATATACAAAGACCAGGTAACTCTCCTATACACCATGGAGGCCATGTGTGACACTGCGTGTTGTCAGTACCCAGGATTCTGAAAACAGATCAGCAGTCTGGATTACATGGCATAACCAAATCTCAGAAGAGAGGTCCACTGGAGAGAAAGATCTGGTAAGAACTCTAGATAGGTCCCACAGCTATCTGTTTAGCCTGGGTACACCCCGGGCACCCCCCACCTCCCCCAGTGGAGTGGCTCCTGCTTACTGTATCTGTTGTACAGCAGACATATGGTAATGTATACCTACTGAATTTGGGTAACATACCTGTAATTAGTAGGAGAATCATAAATTGAAATTTCAGAAACTTGGTATTTCTCAAAATGAGACCTTAAATCAGCCTAAAAGAAAAATAAAATAAAATTTGTGAAAGGTTGAAAAAAAATCACAATAATTTACAAATTTGAAAGTGAAGCTTCCTAGAGAATTTCTGGGCATACCTCCGATACAGAAGGGCAAAGACCACCAACATGGACCAAAAAGCCTTTACTTCTTCGAAGCAGTTCAGTATTCTTCAATTCTGGTTATAGAAAAAAAAAATCACAGAAATGCCCACAGTGACATCAATATTTTAAAGAAAAATGGCAACAATATTATATACAAAATTTTATTTTGGTTCCAATTACAAAGCTTATTGATGTGTGTGTGCGTGTGTGCGTGTGTGCATGTGTGTGTTCTGTATGCATGGGCCATATGTGCAGAAGTCAACGGACAACTTGCAGGAGCCACTCCTCTCCATCTACCAGACAGATTATGGGAATTAAAACTCAAGTCATTCTTAGTCTTTATGGTGGTAAATGTACTTGCTGCCATCTTGAATCCAACCTTTAGGACTCAAATACTGGAAGGAGAAAATGGACACCAAGCTGTCCTCTGACCTCCACAAGCATGCCATGGCACACGCACACATCACATACAATGCCCATGACATACATAAATTAAAAATAGTCAAGTAAGAGATATCAGCATTAAACTAATCATGTTGGTACACATCTGTAATCTCAGCATTGAGAAAATTGGCACAAGGATCATAAACTCAAGACTGCCTGGACTACATACTGTAACCTTTTCTTCTTAAAATGAAAACAAAATCCCAAATAGAAAAAGGAAGCACCAGTGATTGAAGTCAAGAATCTTTTTCTGTATCTCATTCATGTCACCCTAGAATAAAGAGGTTGGGTTACTCGGTATCCAGTCTCTTGGAGCTTGAAAGTTCACCACATGCAATGTAACCCAAAACATCATTTCTCTCTGCTTCAAAGAAGTGCTTTTTAGAACAGGGGTGCACATAGGTTTCTAATGTCCGGTGTGACACTGGCCAGAGAATGGTCTAGAAATTTTCTCTAAGCACACTACTTGTTGAGAAATGGCACACCAAGAAAACCTTTGTATTAGACATGAACAATGTCAGATTCAGACCTTGTTATTATGGAAGGATATATAACAAGAAAGTTGGGGGGGGCAGATAACTTGATTTTAGGTATTATTAAGCTAGGATTTAGTTTCTTCCTATTTGACAAAAGTATGCAAAATTTATACGCTCTATTTTCCTGGTCTCCACTGTGAGAAGACTGAATGTGAAGTATGTTCCCATCCACCGAGTGCAGGTTCCCTACAAGCCCTTGCTCAGGACACAGAAAGTGCACACATACTTGTCTAAAGACGGCTTAGTTTCTACCTTTCATAATTTTTACGTAATAATGGAAGACCTATGAATTCCAGTTTTCCTCAGTAGTAAAAGTAGCTTAACCTCTTGAAACGGCTATGAAAATTTCAGGGGCTCCAACTTTTATTTCTGTCTTACAAAGGTTTGTGCAGTTCCAGTCACTCATCTATTAAGAGGTAGTGTTGGATTCAGACACAGTCTCTCATCACGATTCATCCCTTGCCTTCTTCATTAACTTACTAATCTGTTTATCTATCTGGATAGTAATGTGTGTGTTCTGGAGAGAGAACAACGAAGCTCTTTCTTCACACTTTAGATGCTGACACTGCAGTCAAGTACCACAGTAGAAAAGAGCAGTGACTGAGACTCAGAATTACCTCCTACCCTCTCCTCTCCTTTCACCAGACCAATAAAACTGCTCAATCCTGTGGGATGAGCACTGTGTCTGAAGAAATGAGAATTTAAAAACTACTTGTTCTTTAAAAATGTTACCTCCAACTGGCCAATTTTCTCATATTTTAAAAATAAGGAATAGGTACAAAAAGGAACAAAATACTTTTATAGTATTCCATCTCCCAAAAGAACATAGAAAAAGTAACCATCATTTTCAGGTAAGCTAGGTTATAATTTTTTTCTGTATATTCTTATGAACAAACCTAATGAATTCTTTGGCTCCCATTCCTCATATTCTGCTGTGTTTTCTTGAGTTACCGAGAAGTCAGCTCCAGTCAGCTTCTCTGTGGCATCAAACCAGTCTTCACTTGCTTCGTGGATGGTTTTACACTCTAAGGCATGAGCAAAAGGAACTGTAAGCTGTGCATGTCTACCTCTCAGAACACATGGATAGACGTGTCTCTCAAGACAAGAGTGACCTTTATGTGGGACCTAGAGATAAGCACCATGGAATAGCGAGCCAGGTCTCTGACCTGGTCTTGTCAAAGGCACTGAGCATAAAGCTCTTTCAGTCTACAGCTTCTGGTCCCCAATTTCCTTAACTGAACACTGATACCCAGTCTATCAAAAGCTTTCCTCTCTCACTTCTGGGAGGTACCCTTCATGGATGAAATATTTGGATATAACAAACCCAGTAAACACACTGCATTAGTTGTTTTCTGTTTTTATTTTATTTTTATCTTTTGTTATTTGGAAATGGGATCTCACTGTGTAGCTCTAGCTATCCTGGAACTCACTATATGGATCAGGCTGGCCTTGAACCCAGAGTGCCCGCCCACCTCTGCGCTCTGAGTGCAAGGATTAAAGGTGTACATCAACATGCTCGACACATTGTTTTCTGGAAGCCACACAAACAATATCTATATCAGTATATAGATATACGGACACAGACATACCACACAAACAATATCTATATCA